TTGCTCTGCTTGTCTCCCCTTTGTCACTCTGTTTCTCCACCCCTCTCTCCCACCTCCAATCTTTGAAAACAAAAATTTGCAAGCCGCAAATGGGAGGGGCTCTGGAACAGATGACAAGGGAGGCTGTAGAATCTCCATCCCTCCAGAGCTGAAACAGCACTTGGCCAGACACACTGCAGGCACAATGTGCTTGGAGGCAGGAGGCTGGGCCAGACAACTCAGTGACAATGAGCCAGTTTCAGGGTTCTGCTTTCCAGAACCTGCTTCCACCACCACTCCATGCCTCCAGGCCTCCTCCTGCACTTTGGCTCAGCAGACACATTAACAAATATGTCTACAGGCCTGGCTTATATTTCAATACTCTCCCTCTGTGGTCTCAAGATCTCCTTACACGGTCTGTCTTCCCCTTGCTAGAAAGCTCTTCTCTTGGCCTCATCCCAGGCCTGAATGAACGCTGGCAGAAATCTTTGGAAGCTTATTAGCTTTCCCTAAAAACCTTCCACTTATTTTCAAGCCACCAAAACAGATTTCTCTGCCTTTGTTGTCAAAGGCTGTCCAGGGACATTTTTTACTTTTCAAGGGTCACACAGAACTATACATTGGTTAGGGACAGCATGGATTTTCAACAGCCCAAGAAAACAGGATTTAAAACATACTTTCCCAAGACAGTAAGATCCCATATAGGAACCAAAACAGCTGTAGAGATGAGGTACAAATCTTCCAACAGCTCTTTGGGGGTGTTGCTGGCTTTGAATTATTTTTTAGGAATAGACTTGTGGGAATGCAAATCTGAGCCAGGATGCTTTCATATTTGTTTCTGCATCTTCAGTGCCTAGCCCAGCGGCCAGTGTGAAGCAGGAGCCCAAAATATGCTGGTTGAATTATTAGATACAGATTCTTTCATTCTGGGTCTTTTTTTTTTTTAACCTTTATATGTGCTTCTGATTTAATATAGGCTATGATGAAATCCATGCCTGTTATAGTGTTCTGCTATGTTCAAATTGCATTATAAAGTAGAAGGAAAAAGACCATAGTCTGCTTTAAGATAAAAGAAACAGTTTTTGTAAGAAAAATTAACGTTTTTTTTTAAAAAAAGTAAAATAAATTTCAGGACCTAGATAACAAAGAATTTACTGGGAAAGGAATACTGATAAAAGAAGAGTGAATAGGAAAGGGAATCAGGAGCTGATTCATTAGAGTAACCACCTCCCAAATTAGATGGAGGGACAATTGCAGGTGACAGAACGCGGCATGGAGTTTCCTGTTCCTGTGCGGTCTCTATCAAGCTTAACAAAAAAAGAACATAAATGAAGGGGCTTGTCTAATTTTATGAGATAGAAAAGGGTGAAACATTAAGGCTAATATAGCAATTGTTTTTTTTCCTGGAAAGGTCAAATGCAATTGGCAGAAGGGGAGAGGAGGGCTTGGAGTGGGGGTTCTTTGGGAGATGGAGCAATGACTCTGGGGCAAAGCCCCAAGGACAGTGGGGCATGGAGAAAAGGGACGGCTCCATTGGAGACAGCTGCATTACTTACTAAACCATTTTCTCAGCAATAACTTATTGATCAGGAAGACCAGTGCAATGTGAATTAGTGAATTCAGGGAAGGACTAGGAAGGAATAGACCATCCCCAATGCAAATGCTGAATTCTATTGAGTGGGCCCCGTTCTGACTGTGGCAGGTGAGGTAGAATCCATCACCTCTCACGACTTCTTCTAGGCACTTTCTCTGAGTCACAGACCTAAACCAGAAATAAGTGGTTATATGTGCAGGCCAAAGAAGAGATTTGGTTGGGACTTGTGCATACAATTTAATAGAAGAGAGGAAGAATTTTCCTAACACTTAATTTTCATATCCCTCCAAATTAACACATTTCTGGTGGGAAGTAACTTTGGAATTGGGTACATTTGTAGTAAATAAAATCACTGGAACTAAAACGTGCCGTTTTTAGCATTCTTTGGGTTTCTACACAGGCTTAGGAGGCTGTGACCTCGCTAGCAATGCGCTGAGCGTGGCTTCGGTTTACTCACAGGTGGAGACCTGAGGGGCTTCCGCAGCCTCCAGCCCCACAGCAGCCCTTCTCTGGCTGGCTGGCTGACATCCCAAATTCTATCATGAGAAATACCTCGTTTTGGCATTTAGTCTTTATTCTTTGTTAAAATTCAGATTTCCTTTAGAAAGGATAGAGAGGAGATTCACAAAGCCTTACGAGTATGTGCATCTGAGTGTCCATGTATTTGACAAATTCTGTCTTAAGAGAAAGTTGGGAGCGGTAACAACATTTTCAACTTCCCAGAGGAATAATAACCCATTCCCCAGCCATGGAACGATGGTAGGGTTTGGGATTCCTCATGCCAAATTGATTCTATACCCCCAGACAGACCCAGGTCCCACTCATGATGGGAATTTCAGTGGAACAGAATATCCCTCCCTTGGAATGAGTTATGGTTAATGATGACATGAGAAAATATTTGGGCTCTTGCTATGCATAATTAAGTATTTAGGAAACTGTCTTTCTTTGTAATTGTTAGTTCAGGACAGTATTTGCTTGTTTTTTAATCTTTGTTAAAAGATCCTGAAGAGTAGAAACATCTTTTGTTTTTCTGATTCTCTTTTATAGGCATACACTGTACACAGGTAATTACTCTGTGTACACAATGAGTAAGAGCTTACATGAATGAAGGAACAAAGGTTATAATAACAGTCTGAGTTTCCATAATTGCCTGGCACCTATAAAACATTATTAACAGGGCAGTGTGGAAGTTCCTCACTGATGTGGAAAGATAAGGTATGAACTGGAAGTACTGGTGGAAAATATGGCATCTGTGTTTTCTACTTTGGTGTAGATCAGAGAACTGTAAGACTTTTCAGCAAAAAGAAACATCTGCTTTATTTTAGATGTGAGAAAGCCAAAACTGACAAAACAGGTGACTTTCTCAAGGCCCCAAGAGTGCTCAGTAGCTGTGCTAAAGACAGAGATCCAGGCCTCCTGACTCCTAGGCTGGTCTTTTGGGTTTTTCTTTTTGAGAGAAGAGTCTCGTTCTGTCACTCGGGCTAGAGTGCAGTGGTGTCGTCATAGCTCACTACAACCTCAAGCTTCTGGACTCAAGTGATCTTTCTCCTGCCTCAGCCTCCTGAGTAGCTGGGACTACAGGCATGTGCCATCATGCCAAGCTAATTTTTCTATTTTTTGTAGAGATGGGGTCTCACTTTTGCTCAGGTTGGTCTCCAACACCTGGTCTCAAATAAATCCTCCAGCCTCAGTCTCCCAAATTGCCAGGATTACACATGTGAGCCACTGCACTGAGCCTCTGACCACTTTTATGCTTGCATTATAGTCACAATGAAGCCTTGTTTACCAACATCTGTGTACAGATCGATACCTTGAAATGCTGAACCTCTGCTCTCACTCTGTAAAGTATCTGCAGTCTACTACTGGAAGAATGTGGCCATGCAGAGATGACATCTTTGCAAAGCAACTTCTAGTTCTTGGTGCTGTAACTAGAGATAGAAGTTCAAGGATTGGCTTTACAGTCTGACCTGAGGCTTTCATTTCTATGGATGCAAACCCATGCTGCCTCATGATGAATCAAACCAAACCAAAGGACTGGTCTCTGGTTTGATCTGATTCTGGTGAGCAAATGCAGTACCCTGACCTGGCTCTCAGAACGCTATCTTGACAACAACAATGCTATCTGTCATCTGCCAAATGACAGATTTTCTCTTATCACATTTGATAAATTTAATAAACCCTGCATTTCATATATAAAGTCCTTTGGGAAAATAAACAGCACCTGCAGCTTATCTCCTATCACAGACACTGAAAAAGCCATTTCTTCTTGTTGAATGTGTGCATAGCACAGTATTTCATGTGTTCATATACAGGCCTCACACGAGGGCCACTGCACAAATGGAAACATGAAAGTGCCAGGAAGCTCTTTGGTTTTACAGACTGCATGTGCATTGGTCATTTTCTAATACTTAAGAATGGACTAGAATTTCTGAAAGGAACCTATGGGAACATCTTTGTACATTCCCCCATTTTAGAGATGTGGATAAATGAGAAATGATGTGACTTGCTCAAGGCGAGAAACAGCTGAAGTCGCCAGGCCTGAGATGAGAGCCAGGCCCTTGGGCTCCTGTGCCAGTGCTCTTTCTCTGTGTCCTCTCTAGTCTAGCCTACAATGAAACTGCCTGGCCAGCTTTTCTCTCAGGCTGGTGGCTCAGAGAGTCTGGGTTTCACAGTTTGCTTTCAGGCATGGTCAAAAAGAAGACATGACCAGAAAGAGGAAAGCTGGCTGGGCAGGAGGACAGGACAGGAAGAAGTGGCCAAATGAAGCTAAGTTCTCGTCCTGCTACAGTTCATCAGTTCTATTTGTAGCTTGAAAGTTAGGCCAGCTAAGGAAGTTGAGCAGGAATCTCCATGAGCTATTATTTTTTTAAAAATTGGAATTGCAAAAGCTTATTCTCTTGATTCACTTTCTGTTTTTTACAATATTGTGTGCGTCTGCAGAGATGGGGGAGCCAAGAAAGCCCTGTCAAGAGAATCTATCTGGATTTTGGGGGTGGGCCATTCACTTTCTTCTCTCACAGTACAGGGAGCTTAGCTGATGGTATAAAAACAGAAACCGTATTTCCAATAAGAAAACTAAAGAATAGTGTATACTGGAACTCATTTTGAAATGTCAGAATATGATGAAGCTTGATGGTACATAACCAGGTCTGTGAAATGTCTATATAACCGCAAGTATGCTACATTTGATAAGATTCATCTGGGAGAGTAATAAAGATCTCAGAAACTCCTGCTTCTGCTCATAAAGTTTATGCCAACCTGGTCCTAAAAATAGTTCCCCAGATGACTCATTTTTAAATCCCCCAGTTTTTATACATATATATGTAAATGCATAGATAAGTTTCTGAAAGGATTCATGATTTCCCTTGGAGAGAATGGATTAGATGCATTTGTGTGGAAGTGGATATCACTTTATATTCTTGTACTATTTTTTAATGGGTACATATTCATGCATTTCTTGTGTAATTTTCAAAACTTTAAAATATAAATGAAAAAAAAAATTTACTTCTGTTTAACACATTAATCATCCATGGAAAGGATGCTGGTCTAGGAATTGAGTGACCAACCTGCTAAAACCTAGCTGTGTCATTTAACCTAAAGGCTGTTTACTGATTTGTAAAATGAGGTGGTTGGATTAATTTCTTTGATTTTATGATTCTTCTGGGTAAATGAGGAAGTCAATCTGAATTAGATGAAGTATTACTTTCTAACATTAAGATAAACTGAGTATTTCCAAGTCATCCTTGCCATTTTGTTTAAGACTGCAGGAGCCTCCTTTATAAACTAGAAGAGCCCTAAGAGTACTGTGTTGTTTGGGTTGCTTTTTCAGTATTTCCTTTGGAGTCTCAAGCCTTATAATGTACTAAGTCCAGCAAGCATGTTTAGAGCTAAATTTGTTTGATGTGATTTTTATCATTTTACCACAAAGTTACTGAAATCAATCCCATGCTAATTCTATGCTTTGTTTCATTTTTTAGCTATGTTTAAAAAAATTTTAAACCTCTCTCACTGAATGCACAGCTGAGTTGGGGTAAGTTTTTGCTCTCTTTGAGAAGGGGGGTAAGATAAAAAGCTACTGTTCAAGGCCTACCAGGTTCTAAGGCACAACTGAAAGGCCACATAAAGCAATTAGCTCATATTCTAAAACTGCTACTATAGAAACCTGCTAGATATCTTTGAAATTCCCATTTCAATGACATATTCTAACTTCTGAGGCTTAGCCGTGAGAAGAACTGTTAAATCTTTCTGCAGTACCTGAACTCACTTATGTTCTGATCATACTGGTGTCCTGCGTGGGAAAGGGAAGTCTAGGCACATGGTCTTATTTACTGTTCAGGAATGAGACTGAGTTTTCTGCCTGGGAACCTGGGGAGGGTGGAGGGTGACGAAGGCTGTGGCAGAAAGTCAGTTCAAGGAAACAGGGTCTGAGGTGTGGAGCTGCGGTCAGATTCATCCAAGCATTCATCCTTATTACCAGGCAATAAGGATGAGTCAGAGCCTCAGAAAACCATAAAGTGAAAAAAGTAGCTAGTGGTGTTTCAGTCCTGACCAAGAACAAACTTAAACCAGAGAGGTTTAGGGATATGTAACTGCCTCTATCACCCTCATCCTCCAGCCAGAGGTGATAGATACCCTCAAGGGCCTCCTAAGGGTTATGGTATTTGCTCCTAGAATCCTCCCCTAAGTCTGAGATTCCATCTGAGCCAAGAGGACACCTGAGAGGAAATGAGTGCTTGGGACAGCCAAGGAGGTGTCTGCTTAGTGAGCAGACAACTCACTTCTACTAAGCACAAAGTACCCCAATGGATGCTGTTAGAACAGCACCCCAAAGCCCACTCTGAAGTTGTTCTACGATGGCCCAACACTTTCCCTCTGAGTACTGCTTGTATCTCCTAACAGACTAGCAAACTGTTTGACAGTACAGAAATAAACTTTATCTTTCCCTTCTGTATGACTGTAATTCCAAATTAAAGTGGAATTGTATTTTTTCCCTATATTTACAAAATAGGTCTCATCAAATGTTCACATAGTTTTCTATGCTTCTTTTTTAATATGACATTTTCTTCATATCACAGCTTTTGCACTTGCTTGATAATATGGTATAATCATATTAATTCCTGTACTTATTTCAGGGACAAATGAGAAACTGAATGAGATTTTTAACATTAAAGCAAATTTGCTATGTTTTAAATTGAATCTTGAGCTTAAAAATGAAGCTTGTACTTATGTAAACAGTAAGATGAATGCCTAGATTTTAGTAAAAATAATAGTAAAAAAATCTAATTAAAAGATAAGTAGATGGGGATTTAATCTCTTCAATTTAAAATCCCTTAGCTTGGATCTCTTATTAGAAAGGCTCCACAAAAACAAGCTGTAAACATCCTCAATAATTAAACATGAATATATGATCTATGAATAAACTTGGCCCTTAGGCCATATATGCTTAAATATACAAAATTACATTTGTACTTGATTCTCTCTTGTTATTAGTTCCATCCTCCAGTGAAATGCATTTGTGTGTTCAATTGTCTTGTTCCTATACCTCCACCATGGATCATATTAAAAAATGCTTCTTCCCATATACTGTGAAAGATTAATTGATAAGCCACAGTGGACTTACACTACAACGTCCTTACCAATTAATAATGCTGTTGACTTGGTTTATGAGGATTGAATTATTCATCAGAATCTATTTTATATTATGTCATTGCAAGCTAAGAGTTAAGAGATGTCAGGACACCTACAGGATAGTGATGAAGAAATAGAATAATTTTACTCATAAACCAATCACCTCAATTTAATCCCTGTCCTTCCCATACTCAATAGTGGGAGCTTTAATCTTAAGCCCCATCATTTTTGAACATGAAGGGTATTCATGAACACTCAGAATGGTCTAAATTAAGATGCAATTCTGTAAGGTAGGAAAAAAAAAAACTGGTTTGAGAGTCAGAAAATGTGGGTTTTTGTTCTACTTTTGCCACTAACTAGGATTGTGACCTCTGGCAAGATACTTTACCTCTCAAAGATTGTTCCTATTAATTACAAAATGATGGCTTGGATAGTGAAGGGTTAAGATTTCTTTCAGCTATAACATTTCATTAGGATTCTGTAATATTTGATTAGAAAGTACAAAGATGACAGCTGGTCTATTTGGAAGCATGCTAGAAATAAAAACAAAAGAAAATATCATTTGCAATATTCAGGTAAATAATGTGTAATCCTCCCCCCATCCCCAGGCCTTTTGGGTTTGGTATATGAAATTTTGATCACTTAATATAGCTGCGGTTTGTGATTAGAACAATTATCTGCTGGAGGGGTAAGCAGATACGAATGAAATACAGGGAACCCACCTCCTCTCATGTGTTCTAAAAACAAGGATTGGTGCCCGGCACAATGCAAGAATTTTTCATCGTTACCCATTTGAGATGTTTTCAACAAATTAGTCATTTAGGTAATACTTTTAAAGTGCTATTCCGTACTTTGTGTTAAAAGTGGAATTAAGCCAGGCACAGTGTTGTGCACCCATAGTCCCAGTTGCTTGGGAGGTTGAGGCGAGAGGCTTGCATGAACCCAGGAGCTGGAGGTTCAGACTGGGCAACAGAGCAAGACCCTGTGTCTTTTTTTTTTTTTTTTCTTTACACAAGACCCTCATGTCTAAACCCTGTGTCTTAATAAAAAATTGAATTAGCCATGATTAAAATGTTCTAATCAGAAGTCTTATAGAATTTTATACAGCAATATCCTCAAACGCAACATTCTGACTAAAATCAAATACTTCATAATTCTTCCCTCTCTTTTCTATCTTCTCTCTAAATAGAAAGGGGTGGTGATTATTTTAGCATCTGGGGCATGGTCTGATATCCTTAGTGGCTAGTTTCTGACCACCTTCCAGAATTCTGCTTTCCTTCTATTTCACTTTTGTTTAAGAAGAATGACACAGTTAACTGGAATTCAGCCTGGCTTTCATGAGTTTTCTTTAGCAAGTTCCTTAGTTCCTCCAGTTCTTGCTGCTAAGGGAGCAGGGTGGTTATAAAGGGAGATGACTTAAAGATGACTGAAGACAGATGTTACATTTGAGGGGTTTCCTACTTCCCTACTTTCATAATCTAGGGTCTTAGAAGACGCAGGCAGTCTTCTACTGGAACCTCCTCTAGGACCAAGTGAGTGAATGCATAGCCTTGCACCTACTAAGTGGGAGGTCGAGGCACTGGGAGCCGTGTGCCAGTGTGTGATGGTGCACACGTGTGGGATGACTGGAATTAGGTGAGGGCCAGCTTTCCTTAACCGGACGTTACCACCTTGGGCCAACTGCTGCTGGCTTGCACTTTGTCTAGAAAAAGACAAATTAAATACACATTTAGCTGATGATGAAGATACAATTTCAAGTGAGGAAAAAAGGAGAGAGGGCTGGAGGAAGCTGAGAATAATAAAGGTAAAGTATTATTCTTGACTTCTTGGGAAAATGTTTGGTTTTTCTGTGTGAGGGAAATTACGTAAATGTGAATGGTGGTGACATCATGCTCCCATGCAGCATTATCTTATGTCATAGTGAAATATATGTCTGAGAGCTGTCCAATGAGTAAATGTTACAATATTTTTTAAAAAGCTATCATCTGTAGAAAGAAAACAGGTACTGGCAAAATGCTGCCCCCTCAAATGTGTTGACTCCACATAGAATTGATCATTTTACAACCTAAACTGAAATATAAGGATGTAATTTAGAAATCACTCAACAGATCTGAAGGTTTCAATGTTACAAATTGTCATTTACAAACAAAGGTCATTTAAAACAATCTAACCCTGGTAAATAAGAGTTGGCTCTAGATTTTACATCTCATGCCACCACACGTAGGCAGAAGACACTGTATGTTCTGTGCGATTTGTCATTTTACTTTAAACAAAGTGCTAAATTCTAATGCAATTACACTTTTCGTACAATATTTAATGCAACTATATTAAACATTTAGTCACCCTTAATATAATTATTTAAGGGCCTAGTAGATGAAATTGTATTTCACAGAAACAAGGATAAGTTGAGATGGAGACACAGTGCCTGTGCTCTGCAGCCACTGGAAAGCACTTGATCACCATAAGAAAGATGGCCAAAGGCTTCTGACCTGATTGAAAATAAGGAGTCATATAAGAAATGGCTTTATTAGAAAAAAATGTAGTGTACACGTGGCTAATTTCTATCATCAATATACCTCTTGGCTATTTTATAATTAAAATCCAATACAGGGTTTGAACTTCTTTAGAAGTTAGTGGCATTTATTCCTATTCTGATATGTGACTTAGGGCAGGGGTTATCTTCTTGTGATAGACACCCTGTTTTTCTTTTCATAATTACAAGTAATCAGTAGTTTAGCACTGGCACAAAACATAGAGGACATTACGTAGGTAGTGCTTTACGTGAAAGACGTCATACTTCCAACCCCAGAATCAGGCACACATATGCCACTTGTAGAGTTTTCAAATCCTCTATCACCACTCAACTCCCCCATTATTATTACCTAGCAGTAATTAAATTAATGTGGTAATCTGTAACCTAACAAAACCTCTGAATGAAGTTTCTTTCTTCTCCTTTTTTTCCCGTTAGATGTGCAACTCGAAGCAAATGTGCAGTGTGCAGTATTGATTTCCAGCCTCCTTTTAAACTCCTTCAAGTCTGTGCTATTAAACTGAGACAACCACATCAAGATAGAGTCTGTCATAGGATTCCCTGAAGCACAGAATGAGGAGGAGACTGAGCAAACACGACCCGGGAAGGCACCAGTTGAACCAAGACAACTCTGCAAGACAAAAACATGCAGTTTTAAACATTCATGTAGCACCAGCAGAACACCACCTGTATGCCAGAAGGAATCTGCTCTGCATTCAAAAACACTTACAATAAATGTGTCCTGCAAGGCCTAGAAACTGGCTTTCAATAAACAGTGACAATCTGGAAACTAAGTGATGTGTGTAATATATTACAGAGCTTCCATGTGGAATATTTTTAATCAATACTGTTAATAACTTTTCATTAATTTAATCCACCTTGACTTTGGCTGAAAAATAAATCTATTATTTCAAACAACAAAAAAACTGATCACCTTTAAATGTTAGTTTGCTAATTATTTTTAAGTGTCCTCTATCACCATCCCTGTTTAGAAATATCTAATAGATCAAAAAGACAAATAAGAAAATCACCTGAATTTTGAGATAACACTTTTAAATGTTTTGGATAGAAATATCTATTTCTTAGCAAAAATATTAAGTAGAAATCACTGTAAAACAGTTTAGAAGATACACAGAAAAATAAAACAAAACATTAAAAAAATCAATCATACTTCTATCCCCTGTGGATACTTTGGCTTATTTCTTTCTAGTCTTTTTTCCACTAGCATGAATAGTTATTATATATGATATCAATTACTAGAAAGCCTATAGGAATCATCTAAACAGGCAATTCTGTTGTTATTTGATTTAATGTATTAAGAATACACTTCCTCAAAAATGTTCTCATGAATTCAGGACTCTCTAACAGGACAACCCTGGGCCAATTGCTGCCAACACACACCGTCCAACTGTGGCTGCCTCTACCTACTTCCTCAAGCTCCAGGGACCCTCGAGCTGTGCATCTGTTCAACCACCCTCTACCCCAATCCTGTCTTCCAGTCAACCCGTAGGCTTTGAAGTGAAGAGCTCCTTGGTATAAAGAGGTTGGTGGAGGTGGTAGGGACAACTTCTCTAGTTTAATATCCACTTAGCAGTTTCAATAACAACAACAAACAAACAAAAGAAGGAAACAAGTTCCCTGGTGCCTTGTTCTCCTTGTCACTACTACAGGTTTATAAGTTTCCCTTTGTACGTCTACAAAATGCTAATACTGCCTTAATCTTCAAAAGTCATCCTAAAGATTTCCACATTGCTGCTTTAGTTTAATCCATAATTCATATGGCTAAAAGAGCAATTTATGCTTAGAAATGGAAATCAGAAAACCAACTAGGAAGAAAAGGTCCTGCAATACCTTTTTTCTGTAATATGGTCACAAAAGCAGCCTCTCCACCTCTCAATTACTACATCTTATAGGCAGACATGCTATTCTATAGTATGTAACAAAGACATACATTTCAATGTTTCAATGATATTTTTATGCAAAGCTGTTTTCTGTGCTTTACTTGGATTGAAACTGTGACCTCTGGGATCTTGTCTTTATTGATATTCCTTGAAATGACACACTAGGCATTTTCTGCTTTTATATTAGCCATATAACCCCTGGATTTCTGATGATAATTTTACTAGGCAAAAAGAAGCAGTAAAAAAGTACGAAAACAAAAAAAGCAGTAAAATACAGACAATAGTATACTGTTTGTATTAAAAAAGAGCACTTTGACTTTAAGGCCAAATTTGAAGTAAGAGATAAAAGAAAGTATGGTATTTGACAACATGGTTTATAACAATGACATTTTCTAAATCTTAGAGACTATTTTATGGGGAGCTAGAGTAACACCTATGTAGCAGTAATCAACTTGTCCTTGCTCTCCTTAAACTGAGAAATTTGTGAAATATTGCCAAAACAGACCTTTGATTTCAGAGTTATTATTAGAGTTGTAAAAGTATTCCTTCTACCTGGGTTCTGATGGAATCTGTAAAAATGCCCCATAATTGCTCTTTAGTGTCACAATTTGTTGATTAGTTTTTACTGTGTGTCTCTCTCTGAAAAGTCAAGTCCACGCTCAGTAAATTCACTTGGCTCAATCAACTGCACAAGTGTTCTTTGAAATTATTTGCCTCTTCAGAAAGCAAAAGTTCAGAGGCAGGGAAACCTCTACATTTTCCAGCTGAAACCATTCACATGAAACATGGCTTAGGTGCTCTAATAAGCAGGAAATGGCTTGCTTAAAAATCTAAATTGACTTAGCAGTGGCAGAGTCAACAGCTGTCCTTTCTGAGCTGGATGTCACATGACACAGATGAAAAGAATCGCGATCTAGTGCAATTTTTGTATTTTTATCCTTTGTCTCTCTTAAAGTGAACACAGTTTTCTAACATTCCTTCCCTTTGCCTTTCACTGGAGGAAATATCAATCCACAGTTGAAGGCAGGGACTCCACAATCCACCCCATACTTCTGCTGCTCTCCGCTGTCTACTGTGCAGCAGTGGCAGTACTCTCTTGGCCAATTTACAGTTTAGACAGGGGCTCTATTTCACTCAGTGAAGTGGGCTGTGCACCAAATGGTGATGTTCTGTTGGGATCGAACAGATGGGGATTTTGCTTATCCTCTTATCTTTTTCCTCCAGAAGCACTGTTATACTTTTCACCTCGTTCCTTCAATGACACCACACTTTCAGTTTCTACCACCTACAAGTACTTGTCTGTTCTGGCTACCACTCTCCAGAACCAACTTTCTACTTTCTCTTACGGTAATTTAACAAGATCATCTCCATTCTCAGTCAAAGAGAGGAGATGGCTGACACCACGATTCTCCAAGTTGATGCCCTGCTGCCTTCATTCCTCATTAAATTACCCAGTAGATTTTACCATCATTCTATTGTTTTACTTCTTAGATATAAAATTACTCTTCACTAGTCCACATTGAACCTGCTCTTTGTTCTCCTAGTAACTATTAGTCAATACCTCCCACCTCAGCAAGGCCCCTGCCACCTCCCTCCCTTTTTTTTTTTTTTAAGAGACATGGTCTCACTCTGTTGCCCCGGCTGGGGTGCAGTGGCACAATCATAGCTCACTGCAGCCTTGAACTGCTGGGCTCAAGGGATCCTGCCTCAACCTCTCTAGTAGCTGGGACTACTGGGGCACATGCCACCATGCCTGGCTATTTAAACATTTTTTTTTTGTAGAGAGAGGGTCTCACTATGTTGCACAGGCTGGTCCTGAACTCCTGGACTCAAGCGATCCTCTCGCCTTGGCCTCCAATAGTGCTAGGATCATAGGCATGAGCCACCACGCCTGGCCCCCTGAATCTTTTGAGCACCAATGCAGCGTCAAATTCACGGTCAGTCACTTTGAAATGAAAAGACTGAGGTAAAAATCATGCTTTTAGACAAAACCTGCTGCAAAGCTTCTAGAACAAAAAATAACAGATAATATAAACTTCAGAATATAAAATACATTACAGAGCACATAAAGGATATAACAGCATTCTCAAATTGATTTTTTATGACATCATTAGCATAAAGCATCACTGTGCTACCTTCACTTGTTGAGATTCTCAAAGCAAACATAGGAAGCAACTCAGATTTATAAATATGCTTATATCAAGGAACAAGTAACAACTTTTCTTTTGGAAGTAACCTTGAAAAATCCAAGTCAGAAAAACCTGGAGACACTTCTGACATGGTTCCATGTACTCAAAGCAGAATTAAAATAGGGTGTGGAGCCCAGGAGACCTAGGGCTCCGAATAAACCAGTGATGTTGGTTATAGGAGCCTGAATGACATGCACCCTCAATGACAGCAATGGCCCTAACACGCAAGCAAATGACCAGGGGAACCTATCTTGCTAGGCAAGGCATTTCAATGCGGTCATTTCGGGGTTAGTCTGTATAGCCCTGGAAATTATCTGATATAGTCACCTATCAGATAGCACACTGGGGAGTGTGGAGAACATCAGTTAGCAAATTTAGTACTTCCTTGAGAAGTGACTTAACAAACCACAGATCTTTATGATGATTAAAAATCAGGCCTTCTTATCATGTAACTAATAGTTGAATTTTGACATTTAACTGCTGGGTTTTTAAAATTACTGAATTATGACACTTGAACATTTTAATGAAAGAAAATTCAATTTATCATTTAAAATATTTAGGGTGCTAGGCTGCAGACCTAAAAGTTATTTTTAGGAAACAGCTTTACAGAATTTTCAGATTTGCAATTTATGTATTATCATATCTCAGACCATAAAGAATGTGGATCTCTGCTGCAGGACTTTTATGGCATAATCAATTAATCATATGTGAAATGAATTTCAACACAGATTTCATAGATCTGGTAACTTTAGCCTTAGAGAGATGTGGTGTATGTTTGTGTGTATTTGCAATATACACTCACAAATCAACATAAAAAAGCATTTCCTTAAAAATAGAATCCTAGATATTTAAATTCATAATATCGATGAGCTAATTATCTAGAAGAAAACAAACATTTGGTGAGTGCCAGCTATGCCCTGGATTAGGCTCTTCTACAGATATCTTCTCATAAACTGTCTAAAATGCTAAAATTTAGTGAGACTTTTTTCTTAAAATCATCTTGGTGGACTAAGATTAATTATTAGCTAAAGTTTCTTTTTTTTTTTCACAACAGTCACAGAGCTTAGGTAGAAACTTTAACATACATACAGACATGTATATGAACATACAATCAGAAATCAACCAAAAAGAGGGAAGCGGTTTTTCCCTCAGCTAGATAAATACTTGATTACATCAGTGAGATAAAAATTGGCAGAACTGGTGCTAAGTGCTTCTGCTGCCTATGCCAAAGAAATAAAAATATCTGCTTCTATCTGGTCATTATAAATTTGCAAAATGAGTGCACACCGACTCATGGGCAGTTCCAGTTAATTCACACCAGACACCAATCTCTGTTGAACAAATCAAAACTGCAGCCAGACCTAAGAGAATGACAGATAGCCTACTGGCCATGCAAAATGAGGCTGAGCTCTTCTGCAGAAAGATAGTTTAGGGTAGTTAACTGTTACTCGTATCTTCCCTGCCTTAAACAGATCAATAAATACGTGTTTGTTATACTCTAGAGACCACAAGTAAGAAATTTATTGAGGGATAACATTATCTGGAATCTACTGTTGTTTTTCAATACTGGGAGGACAAATCTCTATTTCTAGTTGAAAGGAGAAACCACACTCTACAAGGCTACACTGACCCCTTTGCAAAGCTATGCCCATCGAATGGAAAACTGTGCCTCTCATCCCAGAGGACAATACAGCCATCTTCAGTGTTTTACCAGGCAAAGAGAGGCAACAGGCTGCTTAGTTTCAATTGTGACACAACTGAAGTGAATAAAAGCTGATATGTAATAATTGTTAGACAATTCTGTTTAGAAAACAATTCTGAAGCAAAGACCTTTCTCTAACACCTGGTGATGGCACTTTTCCCTAATAGAAACACGTGTTTCCAGGAGGACGGTAGGGAGGGCTCTTCTGATTTCAATGACATCTCTTTCCCATATGATAAAACAAACTTGGATCAGGTGTAGCACAGTTAAAACCTACTTTACCTGCACTGCTGATTGATAGAAACAATCTAGTTCACTGTTAATTATATTAAGAAATTCATTTATCACTGGGACACTTTTTGCTGTTAGGTGAAAGTGCCCTGCCATAAGCTGTCCATAAACCCAGGGGTGATTCTGTTTCACTGGCTTTGAAAGTTCCAAAAAATTTTTTTCCAGGTAAGGAAATTAGCATGGTTATTATTTCAATTATAAACCTGTCAGAAAGATTCCTATAAATAATCTGGCCTCTTGAAGTATCACATTTTAGAGCATTTCCTACACTGGGTGACTTCTCATTCGTCCCCTTTTAAACTCCATATTTACCTGACATTAATTTACACCCTGTGTTAAGATAGTAGATTCTAAGTAGTTTTTAAAAAGCAATAGACTAGTGGTTCTCAATGAGAATCTGCACAGTAGAATCACCTGGTGAGGTGAAGGGCAGGGAGGGAAGATTTAAAAAATATAGATGCTGGGCCCCAGCCCAGGTTAATTCAGAAACTCTAGGGTGTGGGGTGAGGATACACTTGGGCTAGAATGCATTTTAAGAAAAACAACTGAGGATATTTTCCTTTATGAGCAGTGAAAGCACACATAATTTGCCTTAGTAAGAATTCATATAAATTCTCTGTATGTCAGTGCCGCAAACTTCTCTCATAACACATTTAGATACTAAATTAAAAAAACAAATTTCTTACCTGTATGATAAAACGTGAGAAAAAATAAAAGTACTCCCATGAACATATTACTTAAAAAAGTGACAACTCCACAAGTAATTCCTTCTGGAACTGGGTAGACAGTTTCCACAAAAAGCTCAAAAAATATAGGTACACTGCTGTTCAAGAACACTCCCAGGAGAATACAGGAGGCATACAATGTCACTAAAATAAAAACAAAAACATTTAGCTTCATAGTAGCAGCAGTGAGTCATATCAGAGATCTGGCTGTTCTCTTTTATAAGCATTGACTCTGTAATTTCATCTCTTTTCAATAGTAGTTGACAAAGTTTGACAAAGCATCACACATCTGTCTGTTCTTTGCTCAGGTTTTCTGAGACAGATACCAAAAGATTTCATTGCTAGATGATGTCCAGTTTATTTGCTTTACCTTTCTGGTGGATTATTCCAAAGCATAAAAACAATTTATCATTATAATATCATTAAAATGATTCTTCCCCTATTTGGTCACACTCCTGGCAAACAGAGGGATAAACAAAACATAGCAACTTAATTCAAAATCTAGACTTATAGATCTATAATTTTAAAGAGAATTTAAAATCTAAGAATAAAAGTAAGAAACATTAAATGTTACTGAAAATTACATATTTAAAGAGATCGGTTAATAACTGCTTTCAAGCACAAAATAAACACTATTCAGTATGTAACTCCTGGAGAAACACTTACAAGAGAATAAGTCCTCAACTTTGGAATGAGTTTTGTGTCAATGGTTTAAAAAAAAAAGTAACATTTTTGGAACACTGAAAAAATTTTACCCAGAAATGTATAAAATAGTGGTTAGGATCCCAGATTAACCCCTAAAAAACCTATTAACACCATTCTGTCTCAAAATCTGCTGAATAAGGATGTTATCCTTATAAGAATGTTTAGGGAAATATATCTCACTCCAAATAATTTTATCATTACTACTGCTGTCTGCCTACAAAACTTCAATAATTTTGAGGCTGAAAACAGAACCAATGAGAAAAAAATGATAGCCTATTTAGGAACTTACAACATGTCCTTACATCCTAGGAAGTATATCATATCCACTGATAATAATGAGAATTTACTCTAAGTTTAAAGTTACAAGGAAAGTATTTTTAATAAAAACATTTAAGAAAAAAAATTCTGTACAGGAACTGCAGAAAGTAAGAGTTACACTAAATCTGTTATGTGTTATTCATGCATTCAGAGAACACATCAAATTACCTGAATTTACCATAACTGACTGCAATCATTAACAGTGCATGACATTGTCAAAGGGGTAAAAAAAATAATAGTATCCACTGATTTCTAATAGAATTTCTCTAATTAACCTCCACTCCCACTTTTCCCTCCAATTACACTAGCTTTTCAGGATTATAAAATATTTAGTATATTCTAATAATGTAACAGCTGGTAATTACTTTGATTTTTCTTTGAATAGAAGATAGATAATGAAAATAAACAGTAGAAGAACTACTTAGTGAATAAAGAACATACTGCTGGCTAATGCAATGACCAAATTATTCACACAATTACATGGGAAACATCTGGAACAATAAATACCATTTAAAACACGATTTTCAAGAGATTCTTAAAAACAAAACACAACCTAATACCTTGTGCTCATGATATATTTGCTAGATGTAGATCACATAACAATCAACATTTTCTCCTTACACCTGACTCATTAGTGTTACGTTAGGAAATCTAGGGATGGAATGCCACTGTAGCTTTTATAGGGTATTGTGTTCCCAAAATACTTTGTAGTAATTTATTATCAGTCAGTGGTAATTAGAGCAGAGAGGACTATTGACCCAAACACAGATGAGCCTAGGAGTTTAAAACAAGAAAATGTTGAAATAAATGACAGGAAAAATCAAGCTCTTATGGACCAGCAAGTGCTACTTCTGAGTAAAGACTCACAAACTATTGATGGAATTCACTCTTTTTTAGGAAACATGTTTAGAAATAATCCTTTCTACATTTTTATTTCTGGAGTAAATATACCCCTACGTGTAATTTGTAATCAGGCAAATTAAAATATAATAATTGAAAAATAATCATAATCTGTAATAGAATAACTGTAAGTGGGAAAAGAAACAATGAAATATAATAGTAAGGACATACTTAAAAGGAACTATCAGTCTGGAGTCTTGAAAAGAGAGATCCGATTTGACTGATTTGCATTACACATGGTCCAAAGAGACATGGGATGTGTCAGAAGAGCCCAGTCTGGTAAAGCAGAGGGCCCTGTCTGAAAACCCTTCAAGACCACATGCAACTCCCTTGCCCCTCATGTCATGCTCATTAAGAATTTCTGGATTTTGGTTTCCTAGGTATCTAAACTCTGGGAGGAACTTGGAAGAACAGGTATAAATAACCATCATTGGAAAGATAAAATTTCTATTGTGGTTAAACATTGTTGATGGAATTGAAAACAGTTCATCTTCCGTCAAGTAATTCAGAAATGTCTATCAAAATAAATAAGGTAATTATTCTTTGACCTAGCAATTCCACTTCAAGGAATTTATCCTATAGCTATGTGGGTACAGGTATACAAAGAACATTCACTGAAAAACTGTTTGTAGTATGAAAAAATTAAAAGCAACCTAAATGTCCACCAATAAGGGGTAAGTTGGTTAAAAATTTATAAAACAGGCCGGGCATGGTGGCTCATGTCTGTAATCCTAGCACTCTGGGAGGCTAAGGTGGGAGGATTGCTTGAGCTCAGGAGTTCTAGACTAGCCTGAGCAAGACCAATACCCTGTTTCTACTATAAATAGAAAGAAATTAGCCAAACAACTAAAAATAAAAAAATTAGCCGAGCATGGTGGCACACGTCTGTAGTCCCAGCTATCTGGGAGACTGAGGCAGGAGGATTGCTTGAGCCCAGGAGTTGGAGATTGCTGTGAGCTAGGCTGATGCCACGGCACTGTAGCCCAGGCAACAGAGTGAGACTCTGCCTCAAAAAAAAAAAAAAAAAAAATTGTAAAACATCAAAGGCATATTATACAACCAATAAAAATGAGGTGACTCTGTATATACTAAGAGACATAAGTGAGTAAGTAAGGTGCTGAAAAGTATGTTATATTTAAAAAAAAGGATACACATACACTGTTTATAAGTGTATAGAATTCTCTGGGAAAATACAGAAAATACAGAAAAACTGGTAATCAGGCTTGCCTTTATAGAGGGAATTTGGGGGCCATAGGAGAGTAGAAACTTTACACTGCTTACACTTTTTCTACTATTTGAATTTGAATTTTTTACTATGTGTATATCTTACCTATTTAACAAAATGAATAGAGAAATTTCATTGTAAAGCTAATGAATTGATAGCTGATACAACTCCACTTCATGTGAGTTTGTTGGCTCACTGATTCAGAAATGTTATCACCAGATGAGCTTACCCAAAGAGCTGATGTCTACACCCAGGAGCCATATAACTCAGCTTTGGTGCAGGATCCTTAACATAAATACTCTCTCTTCATTTCTTTAGAATTCATATTATATGCAGGATAAATGGGCATGTGGTAATCAAAACTCAAGTATTTTCGTTCAGTTGCCTCAATCTTGGTGTTTGCATCTTGTATTACTATAAAAGTGATGACCAAGAGTTTTTTTTGTTTTTTTTTTTACACTGGATGGATATCATGACGTCACTTATTGCAGAAACTAAAAAAATCAAAATAATTTACACATGGAGGGGTTAAATTAAGATAATCATAATCAGAATGGGGAAAAGGTAGCTGTGTCATCAGGACTGATTTAATATATTCCACAGTGCTCTGGGACATGCATAAAGTAGAAGCTGATTATTACAAGGTTGAATTTGACTTCCATTTGAGTTTCAGTTTAGAGTCTGATACATACAGTGGGTGAATGTCATCTATTAAAAGTCAGGCAGACAAGATAATTTCCTGCTTGTCAGAGAGGGTTCAAACTACATGATCATTAAATATTTCCATGAATTTCTATAATACTGATACTAAAATTATAAGCAACCACCTTTCAATTAAAAGTCAAGGTAATTTAGCAGAACACACACAACTGAAGTGCTGATGTAGATTTTTTTCAAAGAAGCTAACAAAATTTCATAGGCCTACAATTTAAATTGCAAAAAGCAAAGTCCTGTGTAGCACAAAATATAGTTAAAAATGAATGTATTTCAAGCACATGAATTGGATTATCACCCTGTAAGTACTCCTCCCTACCCTTATCTCCTGACAAACCAAATTACTGAACTATAGGGGAACAAAATTATGAATGAATACATTTTTATTAACTAAAACACTCAAGCTTTAGGGCAAATTTGAAATCACAAAATTTCAGATCAGAATAAGAACTATCACACTCAACATCTATTGAGATTCCCAAGATATCAATAACAACAGTAACTTTATAATCTTGGATTTATATAATTTTAAAAACTGCTTACACATATTATCATATTTGATCATGCTACAAACTCTTTGAGGTAGGCAAAGTAAGCATGTTACAGTTGAGGTGACTTAAGTTCTGAAAGTCAAAAGCAACTTATTTTGAAACAATGTAAATTAGCAGTGCTAATAATAATATAATCAAGGCCTACAGACTCTCCCATTTTTGCTACCAATCCACTGTCTCATATTGAAAAAAAAATAACAAGGCTTGGTATTTTTTAATTCAACAGTACTGACACAAAAGGCATGCTTTCCAAATCTGTATTCAGCACAAAAGTTGGGAGTGATTGCACATAAAACAGATGACAGAATAAAAAATAGAGAGTATCAAAAGGTTACAAACAAAAAGATGAATTTTAATCATGATAAATATAAAGTGGGTCCAAAATTCCTGCTTAAGTATATGAGGGAAAACTTAGCTTAAGCTTTTCTTCAAAACCATTTATCAGATGCCTTTTATACATAAGCTGCTATGCTAGAGCAGTAAATAAAATACACTCTATCCTCAAATCACTCCTAAAGAAATATGATAGACACCTATTGGCTCAGCAGCCAATATGTACAGTGCTAAGAAGATAATTACACTGTACACTCTGCCTCAAAAAAAGCTATGTCTAGCCATGAGAAGGAACAACTTCCCAGTCCTAAGAGTGTGGCAGGAAAAGTGTGCTCAATTCCAGTAATATATTTTAAGGAGGACCCTGGCAAGCCAAGTGATCAATTTGTCAGTGGCAT